TATAGAGCATGAATAAATGTAAAGACACTCTTAAGCTCACATATAAGTCTCTAAAATCCATTGCTCAAGTGGCTACATTTCCACCCTCTCCACCAAGTGTCTCGAGCTCATCATCTGCAATGAAACTAGAATTTTGCATCATGTGCCTCAAACACAAACATCCCTCCTAATCTCCTGCTGATCCATATGTAGGTTCATCATACTCTTATCAAGAGCTTCCATACAGAGAGAAGAAAGACGGTGATGCTAATCAATACTGCTCTATAGATGACCTAATGTTGTGTTAATAGTGGTCCACTAATCTAATGCAACTACAGGAGGTGTCCTAAGGAGTGTGGTATGTGAGTAATGGCCTTGTGCTTTAAACCCCCACATTTTTATCATTATATAGTAATGTAATTATGTTTTGAAATGCTAATATATGTGATGAAGTATATATGAACTATGTAGATTGTAAGAGTAGAAATAAAAATGTTAGTTGAGGTAATAGGGTATGAATTGGAAGTTAGGAAGTATTCCAAAGTTCAAACACATTTTAGATAGGATTTTGATAAAAAGGATTTTAGACACTACTTAGTATTTGGACCATAACTATTTACCTTGATGTCCGTTTGAGTTGAAATTTTTACAGTAGATAGTAGACTTCCAGGGCTACAAAAGTGTATTTCACCAAAATGTTTCAAAATGACTTCTAAATAGGTCAAAATTTCACTGAAATTTTCAGTAGAAACTAGGGTTATGTTTGGACGTGAATGGACGTTCGAACGATAGTAAGTCCCAGTACTTTGATCTCTACAGAGCTCCGATGGAAATGCAAAAATACTGGGAGCAACCAATGTTCGAACGCCAAAATGGCGTTCGAACGTGAACCAATAATTTGCACTATTGACGTTCGAACGCCAAATGACGTTCAAACGTGACTTACAAAATCTGACTCTAAGATTCGCGCACAGTGGATCATTTCACCACCTATAAATACTTAAGGATACCCTCTTTAGCCCCATTTCAACATTTTTAACCCAAGAAAGGCTTAGAGAGGAAGAGAGGAGGAGAAAAACAAGAGATTAAGAGTTGATTCAAGTTAGGAAAGATCAAAGTTTCAAGTTCTTCACACAACACCAACGAAGAAGAAAGGTAGGGGTTTTCTTCCACTCTTGTCCATTGAGGCTAGGGTATATATATATATGTATGCTTTCACTCTCAATCCTATATATATGCTATGACAAACAATTATTAGTGCTCAACCCCCTACAAACAATATTAATTTTCAGATTTTACTTTAGAGGAAGAGTTTGAACTGGACGAGCAGGTACTTTTGGGAGCTCAAGTGGATGGGCATGTGGATTCGGAGGGGAATGTCTAGAATTGTCTTTTTATGTACTAGACTAGGAGTTTCATTTCGAGATATTGTTCATGTTAATACTTTCCTTATTCCACTACGAGATAATGGTTTGGGCATATTCTTTTGGATGTAATTGTCATGGTTTGGCATATTCTTTTGGATGATGTTGTATATATTATAGATGATGAATGAAATTTTCTTTACTTATGGATCATATTAATTGCTCTCATGATGTGAATGATTTTAGNCATATTAATTTCTCTCATGATGTGAATGATTTTAGATAGTAATGCCGTCTAAGATGGATTTTGGGGCGTTACATGTGCCTACCTCAATGGTGGTGTGCGACTCAATGTACTAGGCTCTACAAAAGTAATGTCGTGTATCTCAACCTTAATTTCGTCACCATCTATCTCAACCTCCATAGGTTCAAAAGTATATCTCACATGTGTCTCGCTTTGTCTCAGAGAATCCTTCCCTATAAGTCTTTTTGGTCTCATCAGCTGCTCAGGATATAAAGCACCCGTAAATTTATCTAGGCAAATACGAGTGATAAGAGAACCAAATGGTAGATTTTTTATAATCCTCCCCTCATCAAATACTCTCCAAATGACTCAAAATATCGCACATGACAGATCTATCTCTAAACCTATACCAATAGCATAAAGCAAATAGGTTCATGGAGTGGGAAAAGTGGAAATGCGAGTCTTCAAATCAATGTTGTAGTTGACAATCAGATTTATAAACCTATAATCCCTAGTCAAATTCTTGTGGTACCATAACTAGAGGTTCTAACCGTTAGGATAGGGGAGTCCATACAAAACTGATGCAACTAATGTCAGTGTGGGTATATAACTCTTAGGTCAAAAATGATAAGGATCATGTGCTACTAAGGAAAGACATAGGGTGATGGAAATAAGGTCAGTGGAAAACTCAAATAATACACCCCGGACATATGTCATGTAGTGTTCACTATCCTTTGTAGAGCCCCGAATGTGTGCATAAAACTTTCTGACCCCACATTTGCAGGTAATAGGCCAGAAATAGCTAATTCAACCCTATCAACTCAAATAACGAAGGGACTAAAGTGTGACTTACCCCTACATGATGAACCCCTCACTCCACAAGCACAGTCCATGATGAATATTTTCTCCTATACAACTCTCGGTACTGTGGTGTCTAAGAAAAAGATCTATTACCCAAAGCCTGTACCCTTGCCTTTTTCTCATATCTTATTGGCATTTTCCAACACCGATTGATGAAAATGTAGAAATAAGTATGGTAAACTAGGATCTAAACTCGACCTAACACTTTATCTCACTCAATATGAAGTGTGATCACTTGGAAATCCTTTGGGTAGGGTATAAAAAAAGTGGGGTCTAGCTTGGGAGTGAAAAGAATAAGTCTTTCCCATTAAAACTCACTTTCAAAGCTTGTTGGTGTGACTCCCGAAGCAGATCACTCGAGCGAGGTCTATGACCTCTCGAGTAAGCCCTAAAGAACATCAATATTGTTTTCTGCTATCTAATCCACTTCCAACCGACTCCAATGAGTCCTAATATGCATGCATGATGTATATAAAGCCTAAAAATAATTCAATGCAATACATGGATGAATTTGGATAAAACATAAATGCAATTTTTAAATTCAAACAATAAACTCTCAAATTTAAAATAATCATGAAAATTACATAAGTTTGCATTTTAATAGCTCGATCCAAAATTCATCATCCTAAAACATTACTCTAAGGTATATTTAAGGGTATAAAACTCAATTTCATGCATCCTAAAATGATGTTTCCTCACTTAGTTTAATTTCACACACACGTGATTTAATTTTGTTCAATTTTGATAAATTCAAGTGCATAGTGTGTGAAACCAACCACCAACACAAAAAGGACCCTGATTAGATTAAATCATTAATAAGCTCATCGTGAAATCCTAATAAATTGTCTATGTGAATTCATGACTGGTTAGTGAGTGTCCTAAATATTCTCTTTTTGGCAACTACCCCTTTCTTTTATTCTTACTACTCTATGAATTCAATCAACAAGATTGTGAATTCCATACTTTAAATGGATGCTTCTAATCATGGTTAATACGAGCTATGCAAATAGTCAATTTACAATTAAGCATAACTACTCTCACAATTCAAGTGCAATTATTTTTAGCCATTTATTTATGCCTCATCTGTTTAGATTTGGCCACATTGTGTTTTTTTCTCACAGTTGGCTTTCAGAAACTTTTCAGGGATTGGGGTTTAACTAATCTTTAGTCATGTGTTCACCTGTCACCAACACTTAGAGTCATTTAATATCATTAAGAACTCAAACTAATCAAACTCCTAAGTGTGAAGGTGAATGACATGAGTGTAATTGGTTTTGAATCTTTTGAAGGTTAATACTATACAAGCATGCTAGGATGAAATAGAATTTGGCTAATGATTCATGCAATCGGATTTATGTCACTAAGTTCTCTATCTCCTAACATGAATCATAGCAATTTACATTTCAATTTTGATTTAAGTATGAAATAATTTCAAATCAAAGTGTGAATTATCATGATCATGAAACAAAAAAAACAAACAAAAGAAAATCTTTTTTGCTTTTTCTTTTCCAATTTTTTTTTCAATTAACATATTTACATGAAAAAAATGCATAAAAATGCAATTAAACAAAGGAAAATAAATAAAATACTTATCATAAATCCTAAGAATGAATGTCAAAACTGACATCAAAACTCTTTTTGGATTTTTATATTTCTTTCATTTTTGGTTTTTAAAATTTCAATGTTTTTGTATTTTCATACGGAAAAACAAATGATAAAATAAACAATAAAATAGGAACAAAATGTATGACCCTAGAGTGTTCGATGAAATGGATTAAAGATCACCTAGGTTCATACCCTCACCTTTCCTACTTCTTAGTTTGCTAGAAGCACTCGGGGGCCTCCAACTTGGTTGAGACGGTGAGTTTCTTAAAGTCACCCAAACTTGTTTTCCCTTCCTGAAACTTAGGTTAGGTCAACAAATGGATGGAGAACTAGCTCTCTTCTTCCCAATTGTATGTAGATCAATTTTAATCTTGGGGGTAGAAGAGAATTTGGGCACTCTAGCATGTAGTCCATGTGACGATAATGCATGAGTATGCTTAGATTCACGTGACCTCTTGAAAGGTTTGGAGAAATTAACAACTTGATTGTTCAAATCCTTAGATTGGTTGGCTAGGTGGTCAAGTTTCTTATTTAAGACATCTTTATTCTTCTTGCAATGTCCAATATGATGACCATCTTCTCCACAAGTATAGCACAAATCACAATTGGTTTGGGTTTCTTTAACAACTTTCTTCTTTGAATGCCTAACCTTACCATGCTCAGCAACTTTAGTGTTTGTGCCTACTTGTGGGGGTGATGCGTTAGTGATACCCTTCACAAACATGGTCTTGGAAGAAGTGTTGGTGTTTTCATTTGTGTAGCCTATATCACACGTATTACCTACACTCTTTCCCATAGACAACATTCTATCAAAACTTTCATTGCATTAGGGAAGTCTATTAGAGAGTTTATTTGATTCATAAAGATCTTTATCAGGTTTGACACATTTTGACTCAAGATTCTTCTTAGACTTTACAAACTCGTGACACTCTCTCAAGGAAGCTCACTCAATCAAGGAGAAACTTCTTCTCATCCTCTAGGCCACATATTTGAGCCTTGGACTTCACCAAGTCCACTTGAAGTGCTCTTGTCTCTTCTTCACTTGAGTTAACCTGACCACTAAAGGAGAGCATTTTCTCGTTTTGTTTGAGGAATTGTACATACAATTGATTGTATATGTCTGGTATGATCTCAAAATAATCTTCATTCTCTACACATGTGGGGATTTCTTTTTCCAAGTCTACAAACAACGTGGTAAGACTTGTGTCAACTTCACTCGTGGAATTTTTCTAGGGAGATAGGAGTGTGAACCTACGAAGGCCATAGAGTTCTCTTCATCATCACTAGAAGAAGACTCAACTCTTGGGTTTGACTCAGTTTCACTATCACTCAATGTGGCCTTCATAGCTCTCCTCTTTTCTTTGGGGGAATCTATCTTATTTCTATTTGGGCATTCTGATGCAATATGCCCAAATCCTTGACATTCAAAGCATTAAAAGTCTTGCCCCTTTATCTCAACTTCTTTCCAGGAGTCTCTTCCCTTTTTCTCTCTTCCCTCCACATGTAGAGGTCTACTAGGCTTTCCTTTCGACATAGAGGACTCAACATTGCTAGCCTTGAAGTACTTTTTGAACTTCCAAGCAATTAATTCTAGGTCCTCCCCTTATAATTAGGGTGACCCAGATTTACCTCTTCCTTGATTTGTAGAACTCAAGGCAATGCCCTTAGCTTTCTTTTAGGATGGAAGGTTCATGTAAAAAGATAATATAGCACATCTAGGTCTTCCACCGACACCGACTCTATGTTGACACTTGTTTCCAAGGATGTGACCTTAGTATGAAACCTTTTGGGTAGAGATCTCAAGATTTTTCACTCAAAGGCCACATTGTCAACCTTGGTTCCTAATGCAAATGACAAATTTACAATATCACAAAATTTAGCATAAAATTCACTAAAAATTTCAGCATGCTGCATCTTCAAAGCCTCAAACTAAGAGGTATACCTTTGGAGTCTAGACATGTTTACTATGGAAGTCCCTTCGTGAAAAACAACCAAGATGTCTTATGATTCCTTTGAAGTTTCAAAATTTGTGATCCTTTGGAACTCATTTGGTGTCACACCATTGAATATCGCATTCAAGCCTTTTGAGTTCCACCTCGTGAACTCATTCTTGCTTTTAGTCCTTACCTTCGGGGGTTTCACTTCAACCACCACTACACCAGCTTCGACTTGGTCAACCACTCTCTCGCGTCAATGGATTTAAGAAATGCAACCATGCCAGATTTTCAATAAGAAACTTTAGATCCATCAAAGAGTGGTGGTCGTCCAATTGAACCACCTTCCTTTTGAGAATCCATTCAAGACTAACTAATAGTAAAGATAGATCTCTTGAAGGCAAAATAGGCAAGTAAGTAAAAATAAATATGGCTACTTAGTGTCTATGACCTAAGGGAAACTACGCTTTGATATCAATTTCTATTTTGGGAGGGGGACCCCAATGTGGATCTTCCCTGATGATTATATATGTGGAGCTCAAGACACTATATGCCTTAGGGGGGTGAAGAGGTTTTTCAATTTTTGGTCAATTGATTACCAATTAAAACCTAACCCACCACAATTACCTCATCCCACAATGGTTTAGGAATTAATGTGAGAACCACTTTAGTCACCACAACAACCAATCACCATGATGATTGATTAAATTAGTATTCAATTAATTTGCTCTTAATCAATCTCATGTCGATCCCAATCCCCAAATACAATTGCACAACTATGGTTGAATAGATAATAAAACAATAAAATCAACAAACACATAGTGTGTGTGTGTACAAACAATCACAACTGTATACAATAAGCAACAAATAACAAAAGTGGTATGTTGACGTGGAAACTCTTCTCAGGAAAAACTAGGGGGAACCGCTCCGGGTTCCCTAAAGCCTAATCTACTATTCTGTAAGTCAACGTACAAGTACTTGAGACTTATACCTCAAATATTAACATGGTTAGATGCTTTTTATCTTGTTGTTTCTCTGTAAAAGGCCTCCTTCGACGTCTAGTATAGCTTCACTTATACTTACCTACCATAAGATTCGTCTAAGCCTTGAGCAATCATGGGCACGCCAATGATCATTGGTATGTACACACCAATGGGTAGATCAAACCATCAATATCTTTTTCTCCAAGTTGGGTAGAATCTCTAGAGGTGGCCTTTAGGGTCTTAGGAATCTAGGTTGTGGTGGAAGCTCTCAAGGTAAAAGTATGATTTTATATCTTAGAAATCTTATAAGAGGCATAACTTAGATGTGGGAAATGATCTCCCTATTTATAGCCCTGGAATAAGGGTAATCTTAATAAATAAGAAAACTTAGATTTGCGAGCGACCGCTCAATTGGTAGGAGGGTAGCCATAGGGCAGTTGTCACTAGAATGAAAAACACGTGTCAAACATGACTAAAACAAGCACTGCTCAAGCGCCCATGAAAGATAGCTCAAGCAAGCTCACAGAGCGAGCCCTTTGTTGTCTTCTATGACCCTTTCCCATTTCCTTCCCTAAGTCAAAAAGAGATTGCTCTAGTGAAGGCTAGTGAGTATAGATTAGTTCCTATCGGTTTTTAAACATAAAACCATGAAAAAACTTGTCTTCTTGAGCACTAAAGGGTGTTGCTCAAAGAGGAGTTCAATTGTGACTCAAATTATGTCTTCAAAACTCAAAAATGGTTTAGAAAATCATTTCTTTTAAAATTACTTAGGATCCATAATCGGATTACTTCTAACTCCATTGTAATCCTAATTAATCTATGTTAAAAATAGCTAAGGATTCATCTTAGGTGTCTAGGTCATTCCCTTATTCTAAGCATGAAAGTGCATATAGAGGTTGAATGATATTGCTTTGATGCATGATCTCCTCCTTTTGATGACACTATCAGATCTTAAATTTGATAGCATCCTGACCACGAAATAGGTTGATATTTTAATCCACAAAATTAGTCAATTGCAAATATGACCTAATAAAATAAACAAATATAAGAATGGAATCAAAAGTATAAATATACTTAATCCTAATCCTCAATGAATAAGAATGGGAAAGAAATCCTACCTTAATACATAAATCTTTGATGCTAGCACGTTTTGATGCTATTACCACACGTTAATCCTCTAAGATTGAACCCGTTTTCCAATTTTTCATCTTTCAAAACTTTCCTCGGATTCTTAGGATTAAAAATCTATGCTTAGGAACCCTAAAATGTGGCCCCTAGGGTATTTATAATGTAAAAAACAAAGAAGACGCTAAAAATTCATTAGTGTTATTTTTAGTGAGGCGTCTGGACGGTTCCAACTTACTGTTTCTCATTTATTCTGATCAGTTGCATGGTTTCATTTTTTTGGACTTGAGTCTGGATGGTTCTAGGGACGTTTGGACGCTAGTGATTTTTTGTCCCAAAATTCCGATTTGATTTTAACCAAGTTAGATTTTGATTAACAAAAATGTCATGAAATACACTTTGGAGCTCTTGAAGTCTGCTTTCTATTGCGTAAGAATTTTGCCAATTGGATATTAAGGTAAAAATTTATGACCAAAATACTATGGTAGCGTCAAATTTCTTCTTATCCAAATTCTCTCCAACGTGCATTTTAATCCTAGATTGCTTCCAAACTTTTAATACATTTCATATCACCTATCCTAATGTTTCTCGACCTTTCGAATTCAATGGTAACATTATTTTGGCATAAAAAATTTAGAAACTTACCTAATTATCCTTCTTAAGTTTAAACACATGATAAACTAAATTTTGACCCAAAAGTCAATATAAGTGAAACTCAAAGTCCATGACCAATCTATAAATAATGAGTAGACATTTCTATCACAATTTTAGTTCTTTTAGAAGAAATATTAAAATGATATTATCCTTATTTAATTTTAGTATAGGGTCTTGCATATTCAACACCACAGTGCTAATTGCCTTCTCTGATATCACTCTCCCAAAGACACTCATTCCACATTCATTAGTTCCTCATACAATATCGTCATTATCAAAACTCATAATTTTCTCCTCCTCTTTAGTTAATGAAAAGGTTTTTAATTTATTCATTATAAATTCCTCCATTATAATCATGGATGAAATAGAATACTAACACCAGATGAGCAACACATAAGAGATATATAAACTGAGAATAAATGATTTGAATAAAAAACTAACTAGTGAGACAACAGATATAAAGATAACAAAGACACAAGATTAGCATAAGAGTAACTCTAGTTTGACACAAAATGAGAATTATAAAGATAGAAGAATTAATTCGATCCTTATACTCAAAGAAATAAAATCTCACCCGAAGAGGGAAGAGATAGAACTACCACTCCTCAAGGAAACCTAAGGAGAGAATAAACATTTTTGTCTAACTTTTAATCTCTAAGAATACCGAAGAAGTTTTAAGGAAGATGAAATACCTCTAAGTAGCATTTCTAATTACTAGATACTTTATCCTAGAAAATTCGTCTGGGATAGTAGATTAGCTCAATAAATTATTGGATGTATTATCTTTATTGAAATTTCTAACTTCATTGGATGTTTTATCCTTATTGAAATTTCTAACTTATTGTCATTTTACAATTGTATTTGTTACTTTGTATGTTTCATTTAAAAAAAAAAGGTTAGACCTCACAAAAAAGATGCAAGGAAAGCTAAGTATATTTGTATGTGTAGTTAAAGATGCCAGACATTACCTCGAATTAAGTCGTACTAGTCACATAATGATGTATATTGGTATAATCAACATCTACCGGTAGAAGAGTTCACAAGAATTGTTCTACCGGTAGATATTCAATGTCCTATTAGTAGAAGTGCTTTCTAGAAATTTTCTATAGGTAGAAGAGCTCAAATTTCCCCCGATTCAATCATTTTTCAACTCTTCCAATCTCATACAACCATAACCGAAACTCATATAACATCAAATTTACACAAAATATAATTCATATGAGCTTGCCTTACAAGCCACATCTCGACTTTTCTTCATCAATGAGGGCTCGAGTGAGACCCATCCACCGGTGTTTGTCCCTCAATTGAAATGTTGTCCCCATAAAGAGTGAGTCATGCTTAATAGGGTATCTCCTAAAGAGGCTACTCCCCAACCTAGATGTATATGAAATGCTCACATGCAATTTAACAATCAACAAACAATCCATTTAAGAATATGCAATTCATAATGGAATACCCTATGTCATGCCATGGTATGGGATGAG